GATGGGGGGGGGGGCGGAGCCTACTGCCGGCCGTCACTCTTGCAAAGAGCGTGTCCCGACTGGGGTCAGACCAGTGCTTGTGATTGGGCCTTTCCGGCGTAGGAAGCTGGCTGATTGGGCGCTTTGAAGGGGCGGGTGTGGCCGGGGATTTTGGGGAGCAGAGCCCGAAAGCTGGCAGCCCCGCGCGGGACCAGAAACCCCTGTTTAATCAGTTGATCAGTTAACGTTAATGGTGAACCGGTTAACTAAGCCAACAGGATGTAACACCCCTAGTTTGATGGGGGGACGAGCGGAGATGGCCGCTTCGCACGAGGGGGACAGCGTCTCTCACTTCCGTGCGTTGTACTATCTCCCACGCACCATTGTGGGTGCCGGGCCACCAGAGGGCGCCAGATCAGCAGGCATCCAGCAAGCCACTGGGGAGCCAAGTCGACACGGTTTTGGTTTTAACCCCCCATGTGTCTTGCCCCACAGGCTGCCTCGGTCGCATCCTGCTTGGCCTGCTCCTTTGGGCTCCTCAGTTCTTGTGGGGAGCGCGTGAGGGCGTCAGGGCCAGGTGGAGGACGGAGGCAGAGTGGAAGGATTTTGGAGGAGTAAAAGCAAAGGACCAAGAGGGGGGATTAGCGGGTTCCATGCCCAGTTCCCGGGGGCAATATTGTCAGGCTTTATAGCAGGGGACTGGGAATTAGGATTTCTGGGGGTTTCCTGCTGGTCTGTCGCTGACTTGCCCTGTGACTTTAGACGTCTCTCAGTGTTTCCATCCATATAATGGGAACAACCAGGCTCTAGATACCCACCTGGTGGGCAGCGAGGTCTAGTCTATCGAGCTATTTTGAAGTGCGTCTGTCTGCGAGTCCGTTTGGTCAAGAATTCTTCCAAAACGGTAGGAGCGAGGGCCACCCAATCTGGTCGGCAGCTTCCTCTTCTAACTTAAAGCCAGGTCAGGGCTTGGCTGTGCCAGGACAACCGGAAGGCCCCGTGAACAGGACTGGTTTCCCCAACATGGAAAGGGAGGGGCTGCTGTTCGGAGGGATGCCAATGAGAGTCTCCACTGGGGGACAGCCGCACCACTAAGGGACTGGCCGGCCGGGCTGAGGGTCGGCCATCTTGCCTGCCAGCACACTGAGTACGTAGCCCCTCTGCCCCACACCCTTTCCCCCCTCCCAGCCCTGGGCCACAGGGCCAGAGGGGCAGGGAGAAAGAAGGCCCCTGGCGGGGGATGGGGGAGCCTGCGGAGAGAGAGAGAATAGGCTCCTAGCAGGTAGGGGAAGGCAGGCCCCTGGCGGGTGGGGGGTTGAGCCCCTCCTCACCCCCAAACCCTCACTCCCCCGACCCAGCCTCCTGCACCTCCTCCATCCCCAAGGCCCTGCCCCAAAGGACTTGGGCAATGCCAGGTAAATTGGCTAATTCATCCATATTTGCGAAGCTCTTGGAGATCCGGGAGGAGGACGGGATGTTCCCGGTTATCGGTTAACCAACCGGGCTGGAGTGCCCCTCCCCCCGCCCACGGGATCCCATATAGGCGATTCACTGATTCAATGGGATTTTACACCCCCAGGAGGGAGGTGGCTAGCAAAGCACAAAGCTGCCTGCAGATCATGGCCCCGGAGGGTCTGGCTGAACTCTCCAGTCCAGTACGTGGGCTATAGCGCCCCCCCGCCCCCATAGCTACTCACCCTTCAACAGGAACTGGATCTGATCCACCCAGTCTTTAGCCTCGTCAGGATTGGACGCTGTAAACTAGGGCGGGAATCCATGCGTTAGGCTATTCAGGTCGGAAGCAAGAGACCATGAAAACAAGCCAGAGCCCGGGATCCAAGACTCCAGGAGTCTATGGGGTTTGTTTTAGTGGCAGAGCAGGTGACTAGGACTCCTGGCTCCGCCCCTCACCCACTGGGGAATCTTGAGTCACTGCTCAGTTTCCCCATCTGTAAAATGGGCTTAATGATGTTGCAACCAGAGAAGGTTGCCAGACTGACCTCAGCATTCAAGTGATCTGAAAGCATCCGATTCAAAAAATAAATTCCAAGCAGCGTTACTGAGTCTGACCCACAAACTCCAGATCCCACCCCCACCCCTACCCCTGAAATTCAGGCACACTCCCATCCCAAAACTGACAGATCATTTCCATTACAGCCTGGCCCGCCAGAGCACAGGAAGCTGGAGCCCTGGCATAACCCTTCCACAGCATGAAGGCTGCTTGCAACACTATTTACAACTCGGCATTGCAGACCCCTCAAATTCCCTCTGCTTTGCTGCTGCGCCAGGCGAGTGCAGACCGCGTTGGTTCTGGCTGGGTTTTACACCCGCTTTGTACCGGCCCGGGGCAAGGCCGTGGAGCAGACTGTCCAGCTGGGAGCAGAGGTCAGCGTGGCGGCCGGTTGCCAGTCTCGCCAAAGCAGGGCCGATTAAAGGGCACTTGGAGAGGTTTGGCTCAAGAGGCGCTTTCAAGACTGCAAAGTGCTCCACTTAGGAAGGAACAATCAGTTCCATACATACAAGATGGGAAGCGACTGTCTAGGAAGGAGCATGGCAGAAAGGGATCTAGGGGTCATAGTGGACCACAAGTTGAATATGAGTCAACAGTGTGATGCTGTTGCAAAAAAAGCAAATATGATTCTAGGTTGTATCAACAGGTGTGTTGTAAGCAAAACTCGTGAAGTCATTCTGCCGCTCTACTCTGCACTAGTTAAGCCTCAGCTGGAGTACTGTGTCCAGTTCTGGGCGCCACATTTCAAGAAAGATGTGGAGAAATTGGAAAGGGTCCAGAGAAGAGCGACAAGAATGATTAAAGGTCTAGCGAACATGACCTATGAAGCCAGGCTTCATGAACTGGGCTTGTTTAGTTTGGAAAAAAGAAGATTAAGGGGGGACATGATAGCGGGTTTCAAATATCTAAAAGGGTGTCACAAGGAGGAAGGAGAAAATTTGTTCCTCTTGGTTTCTGAGGACAGGACAAGGAGTAATGGGCTTAAAGTGCAGCAGGGGAGGTTTAGATTGGACATTAGGGAAAAATTCCTAACTGTCAGGGTGGTCAAATATTGGAATAAATTGCCAAGGGAGGTGGGGGAATCTCCCTCTCTGGAGATATTTAAGAACAGGTTAGATAGACATCTGTCAGGGATGGTGTAGACGGAGCTTGGTCCTGCCTTGAGGGCGGGGGGCTGGACTCGATGACCTCTCGAGGGCCCCTCCAGTCCTAGTATTCTATGATTCTATGAAGACCGAGATGCACCAAAACCTCCCGGTGGGTTTCTCTAGCCAGGGATTCGGGGACCAGCGCTCAAGCAGAGAACCGGGCACAATCCCAGAATCCTAGGACTGGGAGGGACCTTGCGAGAGCATCAAGTCCAGTCTCCTGCCCGCACGGCAGGACCGAGCCTCACACCAGCAAACGGGCACTAACTAGCAGAGATGCTGCCCCGCGAGAGGCAGGCAGTGGTGCGCGCCGTGCAGCGTCCTCCCGCTCCCAGCGGCTGGGGGCGTCAGAGAGCACAGGAAAAGGCACCGTTTCCTCTGCTGATCCTACCTCGTAGCTGCGTTTGCCCGGGCAGAGGAGTTTGAAACAGGATTCCCTTCGGGAGTCTTTGCGCAGGTGGAAAGCCAGCTGGGCACTGTAGTGCTCAATGGGGAAAACATCTTTCGGCTGCTTGCCTGCAATAGTAAACAATAACGTTAGCGTGTCCCAGAAAGGGGCGTCGGGTTCGTTTCACGGGTGGGGAAACTGAGGCACGGAGCCACACGCTGCCCAAAGGGTCTCAGCGGGGTCAATGGGAAACTGGTGCCCCCTGGGGTGAGCATCTGTATCCCCAGGAGGAAAAAAAGGCAAGTATTAACTCTAGTATTAACCTATACACTTTTGCTTATCGGTTAACCGGTTAATCGACTTCACTATTACATCCCTAGTGTAAACCTGGGCTTAGTTTCTAAGGATACATCCACACTGCACCCTTGCCTTGCCATAAGCGACACAATTTGTGCTACAGAAATTGCGCAGCTCATTTTGAAATAAAGCGCTGTTCCAAAATGTCCCGTAACTCTTGTGGAATGAGCGTTACAGGGACGCAGGAATAGCGTGCCCGTTATTTGGAAAGATATTGCAAAATTATGGGCTGCTGTAAAGACGCAGAGTAGCTATTTCGGGATACTTCCGGTATCCCGAAATAGCTTCGCTGTCTAGCTGCAGCCTTTTGCACCATAGGACTCTTCATCGTTTCTTTAAAAACAGAGCTTCTCTGTGGGTGACCCGGCTTGCAAAGCTTAATTTAGTCATCTTTGTGAGGTGCACCTCAGAAGACACATGCTAGAGAAAGACCAACCCATCCCTGTCGGTGCTGTCGATTTTATTTTTGTCCTAACGGCTGAAGAGTTGCCATAAAACAAAGGACCCAGTGTGTCTGTTTGCGCGTGCGTTGGAAGCTGTCGGCATGCAGCGTTTCTGGAGGGGCGGAACGGTGTAACGAAGCCCATATATCTAGCCGTGCCAAACTCTGTTGGAGGTATTAGCTGTGTGTTTATATGGAGCATAACTGCAAAATATTTATACACACTGACACACAGATTATTTACAGGCACTTGGGGACTTAAAGTCCTGCTCGCGCCTAATGGAAAACTTAGTTCAGCATTTTATTCACACGCGGTTCCACTCTTGTGTTTCTCTCCTCTCGTTCTGCACCAACAAGGAGACTGAAATAAAAGAAGGCCACGGTCTTTCTAAAAGTGCCTGTGGCTGATGCCTGTCCTAGCATCTCCACACTCTGCCACGTCATAATTATTTGCCAGCCATGTGAAATAAGAAGCAGGAAGCAGAGGACTTGGAAAGACTGTGGACTGCAAGAAGAACGGAGCATTCAAATCCCTTAAGGCGCCGTTGAAAATGGCAGCCAACGCTTTGGAGTTGTGCAAAACAAAGAGGAGGAAATCCGTGCAGGCGCACGCCCGCTAACCTGTGGAACTCACCGCCACAAGACATCACTGAGGCGAAGAGCTCAAGGCCAGGTTACACCATCCTTCAGAGATTAATGTATGGCTAATGGGAACATTTTTACAACTCATGGGAACATTCGCCACTTCGTAAGAGGGGATGAGAAACAGAAGCTAGATCAGGGCATGAGCTAGCTGGCATCTGGCACGATGGAACTTCTAGTTAATACTGGAGTCTAAATATCAGAAAGCGACAGGATTCAATGTGGCAGACTAAGCACCGAATCCAATTTACTGGGGCCCTGTTGATCCCCTGAAGCCCAGGGACGTGGCGAGAGAGAGAGACTGCCCTGCAACTCTCTCTTCACCAGGCATTCGTGTTACACAAGGGCCTGCCCTGTCTTGCCCAGCCACCCCACATGGCCTGGAGATCACAAGGCGGGTACTTTGCCACTTACTTTTTTCATTGGCGTAGTACAGAAAGGCCCTTCTGGTGAGGACGCACCATCGCTTCTGCCACTCGGAGCCAAAGAAGCCATGGTCTGCGGGGAAACAAGACACAAAGGGAGGGTTTGGAGCATTGGGGGAAAGGTCTCATACTCTCTTTTGCGTATTTATGGTCAGCGTACGTCCTCTGGCCCTGCCCTACGCAGTGACGGGGGGCTGGAATCTAGCAAACCCCCGATGGAGCATTACATGTGGGGCTGAAGGCCCCAGGTCCGGCCACACACGCCTGAGCTCTGGGCTAGGGAAAAGGCGCGTTCTTAACGCAGCTCAACGAACACGTGGTACCTAACAGGAGGCGAGAACTCCCCTCCTTTGCTAGCGACGACACTGTTGAATCCTGGGCTTTGCTCACCGACCTGCGAAAGTTGCAGCCTCTCTTACTTCTGGCACATGAATAAGACTCGAGAGATGCCACACACAGCAGGTGTCGACCTGGCGTAAGGACTGGGCTTTTCCAAAACGCGCAAGTGAATTGGGTGCCTGCACCAAGCGACCAGCAATAGGACGTAAGTCCCTCCATCACTGAGGTGCTTTCCAAAACCCCAGCCAAGGTATTTTACATCTCCTGACTTAAAAGTCTTTCCCTTTTGGTTTGTCCGGTGTTGCCGCCTTGGTACCACTGCTGTCATGAACCTCTTAAGCTCGCCAGTCATCCACGGAGCCTTCCCGGGGAGACCAGATTTAAATTTGCCATGCAAAAGACAAAGCAGCGAATAAACCTGTTTCACCCCCACAGCCACCATCCGCTCCCAGACTTATTTATAGATCATCATTAAGCATAAATAAAAGGGATATGCACCCCCCCGCCCTTAACTCTGGTTTATTCGGCTGTTACCTCTCGACCTCTTCTCCAAGTATCCTTGCTTCAAAACATTCTCCAGCTCGGGAGCCGGTTTCTGTATGGCGTCCTCTAACCCTAAAGAGAGCAAAGCAAAGCCTCATGAAAGATATGAAAGAGATTCTATCTGCAGACTGCGTTCTGCCTCTACCATGGCACAACCACACACACACACACTGCAACCGGGGTGTGTGTGCGCGTGCACGGCCCATTCTCACATAGGAACCCTTCTGTATGTGTCACACCCAAATGGGACACCGCAGCCCTCCGCAGGACAAGGGACGGACGGAAGCCTTTATCTGTGCCACGCTGCTCCAAGAACCAGGCTTGCAACGAACCTCGAAATGTTGTGAGGTTACTGAGAGGCCTGTCCAGCGGCTCCATGAGGGGGCGTTAATTTCCCTGCCCGGGGGAGGCAGGAAGCCGGGGGCAGATAGCAGGAGGAACCCGCGCTCAGACCCCGAACAGCCACCAGTCTGCTGGGCGTTGTTACATGGAGCACGCACAAATCAAAGCCCAGAGCCTCTTGGGTAGAATCCCAGCGGGCGCCTGTTGGCCATCTGCCCCATCGGGAGCGGGGCGGCTCCTGCTTCCCAGCCAGTGGGCTGGTGGCCCTCACTTCGGCGGACGCATGGCGCAGGGATCCGGCTCTGGTGACTTCAGGGACGCCACTCACAGGGGCCTGACCCAACGCCCACCCAAGGAGGGATGCAAAGATGCAGGGGGAAAGGTTAACCGGCTACATGCTTGTACTGCAATTGGTTAACCGGTTAACCCTGCTCCGGCTGGTGTCCAGCCTCTTCGCCGGGCGGGGAGACTCCTCCAACCTGGCCCTCTGTGCGCAGAAGGGGCTGCTCCGGGCGGCCGGCCGGGATCCCGCTTTGCTGTAGGGGGAGGGTGCAGACTGCTCCGGCTGCTCCCCCGCCCTGCCGGTTAATCGGTTACCAGGTAAGAAACTGGTAAGGCTAATACCTAGTGGGTAACCCGCTGACTTTCCACATCCCTACCCCGAAGCCGGCTGTGGGTCTGGCCACCGGGAGGGAAGGATTAAGCCGTGCTGCGGTCACCCTGGGCCCGGCCCATGCCATGCGGGCAGAGACGGCCCTGGGTGCCCGCGCATCCTGCAGCCGCAGGCCTCCACCTGCCGAGGGGACTCTCCACCGCCCGTGCGGAGCAGCCCTTCTCTGTGCCCGGGTCCTGAGCATGGACTGTCTGGCAGCAGCTCCTCCAGCCCGGCTCACAGCTCTGGGGGTGAATCCCCCCTCCAGCCCCCAGGCCGCGTCCAGCTCAAGAGCCAATCCCTCACCCCCAGTAGGGGGCAGAGCTGCTCATGCCAGGCACCCCAGCGAGCGCTCCGGGGGGCTGGCAAGCTGGAGGAGGTTTTGCCACCAGGCTGGATCGAACCGTCACGATCCTCTGAACCAGGGGCTCTCGTTCTCACCTTGTTTTAATGGGGCCACCGGAGCGGCTGTTAGATTTGCTGGGGCCTGAGGCCAAAGCCCCCCTCCCCGTCCCCAGTCCAGGGCTGAAGTTTTGGGCACCCGGGCTACAGGCCTCCTGCCTGGGGTTGAAGAAGCCCTTGGGCCCCCTGGCTTGGGTGGTGGGCAGACTCAGGCATCAGTCCCCCCTTCCTGGGGTCACAGAGTCATTTGAAGGGGGTGGGGGGGGCAGCACAATGAAGTTTGAGACCCACTGATTTGCTCTAGCCTCGCCCAGCCACTCCAGCACCCAGGCTGATGTAACCGGCACTGGGCAGATTTGAACCTGGGTCCTTGGGAGCTTAGTGTAGGTGCCGCTACAGCATGAGCTAAAAGCCAGCTGGCTTTCAGGCTGTGGAGCGCCCTTGTTCTTATCTCTCGCTGTCAGTGGTCTAAGTGCCACTGCGTGGAACAGTGAACTGCACCCGGTATGTGGGTTACACCCGCATCGGCTGCAAGACGTACCCCGGGGAGGCCGCCCCCGGCATTGTGCCGTGAAACTGCCCGGACTGCATCTCACCGCCCCTCTCACCCCGCCCCCCGCCCCTGAGACCCCCCCCTCCCCCGCCGCGGGTCTTCATCATTTGTGCAGAAACACAATAAAAACCGACTCACTCCGCACCGCGAATCATCTCCCCCTTGCCTGCGCTTGGCAGCCTTTTAAGTGTGAGTCACTTCCCCGCGTCCCAGGCCAGAAGGGTTGCTCCTGTTTTCCTAGCGGGCCTCTCTCCCGGCCTAAGCCATCCCGGGGGTCAGTCCCCTCCTTCGCAGCGGCCTTTCATGTTTGTGTTTTATAGCTTGCAAACGCGGGGCTGCTATAAATCCCCAGCCCCGGCTCCGGGGGCAAACGCCAGGCACGAGAGCACCACCAAATGCACAAAGTCCGGCTTTGTACAAACTTCCCCACTACATGCCCACCCCCTTCTGTGCTAGTTATTACCTGGGAATCAGAGCCGCCCACAGAGGCAGATCCGTCCTTGGGAGGTCAGTTCCCACTCGGATGAAACTCAACTCTGGGGAGAGACCCGTCACTTCAATTCCAGTCCAAAGGTGTGAGTGGTACATAAACCCTCATTGGCCTCTATCCAGGGGATGAATTTCATCCCTAGTCACTAGTCACAGGGCTGAACCTAGATCTGGCCTTTCCTCATGAAACAGAAAGGTAGCCAATTAAAACTAGATTCAAGGGAGTGCGTTTCCTGCCATAACTGGCGGAACTCGCTGCTGCAGGATATTGCTGAGGTCAAGCGCATAGGAGGATTCAAAGCCAAACTGGATATTTGAACATCAAAACCAGCCTGTGGGATCCAAGTAAAGACTCAAAAATGAATAAGAGAGTTGGGAGGGAATAGAAGCCCTCCAGTTCCAGGGCATAACCCCACAATAACTATTTGGCATCCCCTGGAAATTTGACGTTTTCCCCTGAAGCAGATGGTGTCAGACACGACCAGTCACAGGACCCCGGACAGATCCCACGATAGCAATTCCTCTGTTCCTAAAGCCGGACCCAGCGAAGGAGCAGCTCCTTTAATAACAGATGCATTACACACTTTTCCTTTGGAGATGCAGAGCATCTGACACGTTTAAAAAAAAAAGGCCTGGTAAGCAGGTTTGGTTTTTTAATCGGAATTCAGGCCCCTTTTGTTAATGCAAATCTGAATGTCATTTTATGGGACATTTATAATGATGAAAACGGGCCGACGCTGCCTGGTACACAGGGGGAACCCGCGAGTATGAATATTACATTAGCATGCCCGATGCCAGCTCACTGATCCCGCTGGCGGGAGCATAAAAAATGCTCGAGTGAAACTTTTATTTAGACGTTAAGATTCCAGGCCCCAGCGGGGTGGGGCAGGCG